AAACCTGAGTATTCATTGGAAGGACTGATGCTGAAGCTGAAGCTCCAGTACTTTGGCCACCTGATGCAAAGAACCAACTCATTGGAAAAGACCCTGATGCTGGGAAACATTGAAGGCAGGAGGAGAAGGGGATGACAGAGGATGAGATGGTTTGATGGCATCATTGACTCAATGGACATGAGTTTGAGCAAACTCTGGGAGATAGTGAAGGACAGGGAAGCCTGGTGTGCTGCAGTCCATGAGGTCACAAATAATCAGACATGACTGAGCCACTGAACAACAATATAATCTTAGGTTGTAAAATTAATGGCTGCTGCTGAATAGAGGCTTGGAAACAAGGCTTCTCTAAATGCAGTCTGGCTTTGTGGAACTGAAGAATCTGGAATTACAGACTCCTGGTATATCACTGATTATGGCTAGGATACTGAATGTATCTTTTGTGAAGGCTGATGGGCCCTTGAATACATCTCAATGCAATTAGAAGGGCGCTGAGCTGTACCACCAGCATTCTGTGCACTGCTCACAAGTTGGGCAAAAGAATAACTTGACAAAGCTAGAGGTGATTAACTGAAAAGAAACTAGAAATTTGATTGGCATTTGGTAATTTGGTTAATGCCTGATTCCCATTTCTAGGGTCAAGTTCAAGTTGAAGACCAACCATTAGATCCTGGGAAATCATTTGTGAAGCACGCAATGTCCAAGGAGAAATTGCAAACAAGACTGGTTGTAGAACTCCAGTAACTGACAAGTCTAAAGTCACAGGTTGAGCTAAAATGTGTACATCCGCTCCCAAACTCAGCTGTAGTTCCTGGTGCTGATGGAAAAAAATTCAAATTACAAATGCATGTACCATGGGAGTTCTCTGATGTCCAATGGTTGAGGACTCGGTGCTCTCATTGTCAGGGCCCTGGGCTCAATCCTTGATTGAACTAAGATGCCACAAGCTGCAGAGTGTGGCCAACAATTTTTTCAATTAAAAATAAAATAAATGTATATACCATGTCCAATTTAATGGGGAGAGTCCCGGACAGATAGGTAAAATAATGCTATGTTGTAAAGATTTGGGGGCTTCCCTGGTGTCTCAGACAATAAAAGAATCTGCCTGCAATGCGGGAGATCTGGGTTCAGTCCCTGGGTGAGGAAGATCACTGGAGAAGGAAGTGGCAACCCACTCCAGTATTCTTGCCTGAAAAATCCCATGGTCAGAGGACCCTGGCAGGCTACAGTCCATGGGGTCTCCAAGAGATGGACACAACTGAGCGACTAACACACCGTAAAGATTTTAGGAAGTTATCAAAAAGGTGCTGGGTATAGTGTTAGTCCTATAAAAATTCTATTAATAACACCACGAGTAAATGTTAACTAAAGACAGTAATAGACTGAGAACAGCCCCCAACAATATATTGCTCATGGCCTCTTGAACTTGCCACATAACTCATTCAAACCATGGCAGAAATTCAGAGTAACTGAATCTGACACCTTCACACACCAGAAAGTGGAAGTTCTAAGAGAAAGCATAAAAGGATTTTAATATCATAGCTAAAAGGAATAAAGAAGGTCTCTCAAGAGGAGAGGAGAGAGTTGGTTGAATATACATAGGCTGGCTGTAATAATTCCCAGAACTTATATGACCAGGTTTATGAAAAGATCCCCATTGGTCAAACTGCTTGCTTATGTGGATTCTAACTATTACATGAAAAAGGTGGGCTACAAAATAATATGTATGTGATATACATATGTATGTATAAACAAAGTTATATATGTATACCCAGAAAAAAGACCAATCTAGAGTTCATTTATTCATAAGATTTAATGACAGAAGTCCAGTTCAGTCTCTCAGTCGTGTCCGACTTTTTGCGACCCCATGAAATCCAGGCATGCCAGGCCTCCCTGTCCATCACCAACTCTCGGAGTCCAATCAAACCCATGTCCATTGAGTCGATGATGCCATCCAGCCATCTCATCCTCTGTCATCCCCTTCTCCTGCCCACAATCTTTCCCAGCATCAGGGTCTTTTCAAATGAGTCAGCTCTACACATCAGGTGGCCAAATTATTGGAGTTTCAGCTTCAACATCAGTCCTTCCAATGAACACCCAGAACTGATCTCCTTTAGGATGGACTGGATGGATCTCCTTGCAGTCCAAGGGACTCTCAAGAGTCTCCAACACCACAGGTCAAAAGCATCAATTCTTCAGCGCTCAGTTTTTTTTATAGTCCAACTCTCACACCCATACATGACCAGTGGAAAAAACCATAGCCTTGACTAGATGGAACTTTGCTGGCAAAGTAATGTCTCTGCTTTTTAATATGCTGTCTAGGTTGGTCATAACTTTCATTCCAAGGAGTAAGCATTTTTAATTTCATGGCTGCAATCACCATCTGTGGTGATTTTGGAGCCCAGAAAAATAAAGTCAGCCACTGTTTCCCCATCTATTTGCCACCATGAAGTGATGGGACTGGATGCCATGACCTTAGTTTCCTGAATGTTGAGCTTTAAGCCAACTTTTTCACCCTCCTCTTTCACTTTCATCAAGAGGCTTTTTAGTCCTTCTTCACTTTCTGCCATAAGGGTGGTGTCATCTGCATATCTGAGGTTACTAATATTTCTCCCGGCAATCTTGATTCCAGCTTGTGCTTCATCCAGATCAGCGTTTCTCATGATGTACTCTGCACATAAGTTAAATAAGTAGGGGGACAATATACACCCTTGATGTACCCCCTTCTCCTATTTGGAGCCAGTGTGCTGTTCCATGTCCAGTTGTAACTGTTCCTTCCTGACCTGCATACAGGTTTCTCAAGAGGCAGGTCAGGTGGTCTGGTATGCCCATCTCTTTCAAAATTTTCCACAGTTTATTGTGATCCACACAGTCAAAGGCTTTGGCATAGTCAATAAAGCAGAAATAGATGTTTTTCTGGAACTCTCTTGCTTTTTCGATGATCCAGCAGATGCTGGCAATTTGATCTCTGGTTCCTCTGCCTTTTCTAAAACCAGCTTGAACATCTGGAAGCTCACGGTTCACATATTGCTGAACTCTGCATTCAAATGGGTGTATCTTTCCTTTTCTCCTTTGCTTTTCGCTTCTCTTCTTTTCACAGCTATTTGTAAGGCCTCCTCAGACAGCCATTTTGCTTTTTTGAATTTCTATTTCTTGGGGATGATCTTGATTCCTGTCTCCTGTACAATGTCACGAACCTCCGTCCATAGTTCATCAGGCTCTCTGTCTATCAGATCTAGTCCCTTAAATCTATTTCTCACTTCCACTGTATAGTCATAAGGGATTTGATTTAGGTCATACCTGAATGGTCTAGTGGTTTTCTCCACTTTCTTCAATTTCAGTCTGCATTTGGCAATAAGTTCATGATCTGAACCAGAGTCAAATGTAGAGTCTCTATCCCCAAATATAAATGATAATTTCTTTCTAACTGGAGAGATAGTAGATGATATTTACTGTCTTCTTTATAACTTTGTAGGCTTTATTTTAAATAGGTAAAATACACTTTCATAAATTTTAACCTTTTTTTTCAAAATACACATACCTGTATATTTATGTTGTTGAACCTAAGTTATTATTAGTAATTTAAGCATCCATCCAACACACTTTGCATTATAGTCTTAAAAAGAGATAAACCCAACCACAACATGAGCTCAAGAATGAACATTTACCATATAAGCTACAAACACTAGCCAAATACCATGTACTGTCAACTATACCAGATTAAATATATCCCCAGCAGATTTTAAATGCATCTGGCATTTGTCAAGTATGTGTATGTTTTCCCCTACAAGATTGAGCTTCTTGAGGGCAAGGACAATATTTTATCTTATTTTACATTCCCAGAGATGGCGGTTATTAAAAGTGTGCTGATGAACTATGACTATGTACTAATCTCTTAAAATCAACATATGCACCAGCTGCTAACTAAGTCATATACAGAGAATGCCTAGGAACTCAGACCAGCTCATTCCCAAAGAGAGAAGACACACACAGGGGATAGTGAAGTTGAGAAAAGAAAATGCGATCGCAAAGAAAAGCCCAACCATGTATCCAAAGTCTATAACCTAGGAAACCAGGATATAGTACTGATATATGAACACTCAGAAAGACTGTGCACTCATTGTCAGAAATGAGTAATGTTGACTTCGAGAGTCTAAATGAAACAAACATTTTCTTCTACAGAAATAAATGTGAACAAAACAAGTCAAGAATTTAGATCAAAGTGCTAAAAATTATAACAGTCCATGACATACTATTTCTAATTAACTACAAAAGACATTCCTCCACATTCAAATCAGGCTGAAAAGTCCAACACAAAAAGCAAACCAAGGAAAAGGGATTAGAGTCCTAAATAAATTTTTTATCTGTATATGGAATTCTCAGTTTCTTTTCCAATTATATAAGCAGTGTCTCAAGATTCTAGTTACACAGTATTAGGCACATCCTCAAGATGAATGTCTTTTTTTGTTTGTTTGTTTTGTTTTGTTTTTAAGATGAATGTCATAAGTGAAGGAAAATATAAACAACTTTAAGCTTTCAGTGACTTTTATATAAGCTAGGATGAATCTATGTAAGACAGCCTTCGCCTGTCAGAAAATCTGTGCTGTGCTTAGTTGCTCAGTCATGTCTGACTCTTTGTGAACCCAAGGACTGTAGCCTGCCACTCTCCTCTGTCCATGGGGATTCCCCAGGCAAGAATATTAGAGTGGGTTGCCATGCTCTCCTCCAGGGTATCTTCCCAACCTAGGGATCGAACCCAGGTCTCCCATATTGCAGGCAAATTCTTTACCACCTGAGCCACCAGAGAAGCCCAAGAATACTGGAGTGCGTAGCCTATTCCTTCTCCAGGGGATTTTCCTGATCCAGGAATCGAACTGGGGTCTCCCACATTGCAGGTGGATTCTTTACCAGCTGAGCTACCAGGGAAGCCCAAGCTACTAGGAAAGCCCTAGGCAGTGTTAAATATGTTTAGCTGAATACAGAGGCTCTAAAATGTATCTTACCTTTATCTGTGAGGCCTTTGGGACAATTAAAGGCGAAACCTGGGGTTGTGGGACAACTGGAGGTCCAAAGACATGTACAGGCAAAATAGTGGACCGACCTTGAACCAAAGGCAAAATTTGGGGCTGAGTCAGCTTTGGCTGCTTCTGCAACTGTTAAATAAGAACAAAAAGATTAAAGATAAATTCTCCGATCTACAGTAAATATACTGATGATATATTTAAAAGTTTAACAGTTCATCTCACCCCTGAAATCTGCTGGTAATGTCCCACTAGTTGCTGGGATGGATAAATTTTCTCCAGAACATTTATTTCGGTCTGCGGCAAGTTAGAAACCATTTGAGAGCCCATAATCTGGTCTGAGGAGTAGGCTACAGTGGGCTGATTTGAAGTATCTGAGTGTAAAGCTGATCCTGCTCCTGCCTCAGACAAACTGTCACCTATGACAAAGAAAATAAGGTAAAAGGGAAAAACTCAAAACACAAGGTCCAGATGGCATAGGAAATGGTAAGCGCTCTTTTTTTTCTTTTTTACTCTGATAACCTGAAACAGCTTCAAATAAGATATGTACACTGCAGAATTAATCAAAAACCATCATGTAAACTTTCCATGCTGATATTATGGTATAACTAAAATTTTATTAGTAAAGCAAAACTACAAAGAATTACATAAAAGTTAACTCAATCTGCTGGCCATTTCATGCATATCCTAACTAATCTATGTGTGTCAATAGGATTTCAGTTAATTTTAAGTGGCATATTCTCATTTTCATAGAACTTGGCTACAAAATAATGCTGCCTTTATAGAAAACGGGTTATTACTATGAAAACACTCTGTCCTTCTAGAGAAGAGAATGCATTACAGCCAGAAAAATTAGACAAACTGTTAATTTATACTTGAGTCTAAAATACAAAGGTCTTATAGTCTAGAAAATTTCCTCTTGAAAAATAAGTTCTATCTTTAGATTCATATTTCCTTTACTAAAAGATTCATGTTAGACCCTTAAAAATGGTAAAAAGATTATAATCCTTATTCAACTCCTTGGACAAGTCACTTAACAAAACAGTTTCTTAATTTTAAAGTAAGGAAACTAGCTGGCTTGTCTAGGGATTTTGGAAAAGGGTTAATGAAAGGACAGATAACAAAATCCTTTGAAACATACAAAAGTACTATTTAAAGATAACAGAATACAATTACATGTTTCCTTTTATATATTATAACTGTGTCACCTGTAACAGAGGAGCAATGATGTTGTGGTTTTCTTTGTAGAAGCTGTTGTCGCACATGTTGATCAACTTCAGTTTCTTCACATTCCGCCCCAGTGTGCTGAACAGGAGGAGGGGGCAAAGATGTATTTTGGGGCTGAGCGAGTACATTCCCTAAAGACTTGCACTGGGAATCCCTGTGTTCTTCCAAACAGGCAGCTGGCTTCTTCTCCCTTGTCTTCTTTATCAGGGTCACACGGTCTCTAATGGACTTAGCAACAGCTTTGGAATCACTTTCATGGAAGAATCCTGACTTGACCTACAAACAAAATATAATAAGCAAATCACATCTTTTTTTCAGTTAATTACTTAATTTTTTTATTGAAGGATAATTGCTTTACAGAATTTTGCTGTTTTCTCTCAAACCTAAACATAAATCAACCATAGGTATACAGATATCCCCTCCCTTTTGAACATCCCTCCCATCTCCTTCCCCATCCCACCCCTCTAGGTTGATACAGAGCCCCTGTTTGAGTTTCCTGAGCCATACAGCAAATTCCCATTGGCTATCTATTTTACATATGGTAATGTAAGTTTCCATATTATTCTTTCTATACATCTCACCCTCTCCTCGCCTCTCCCCAAGTCCCTAAGTCTATTACCTATGTCTGTTTCTCCATTGTTGCCCTCTAAATAAATTCTTCATTACCATTTTTCTAGATTCTGTATATATGTGTTAGAATATGGTATTTATCTTTCTCTTTCTGACTCACTTCTCTCTCTATAATAGGTTCTAGGTTCATCTACCTCATTAGAACTGACTCAAATGTGTTTCTTTTAATGGTTGAGTAATATTCCATTGTGTATATATACCACAATTTCTTTATCCATTCATCTATTGATGGACATCTAGGTTGCTTCCACGCTCTAGCTATTGTAAATTGTGCTGCAATGAACAATGGGATACATGTCTCTCTTTCAATTTTGGTTTCCTCAGGGTATATGCCCAGGAGTGAGATTGCTGGGTTATATGGTGGTTTTATTCCTAGTTTTAAAAGGAATCTCCATACTGTCTTCCATAGTATGGAAGTACATTCCCACCAACAGTGCAAGAGTGTTCCCTTTACTCCACACCCTTTCCAGCATTTATGGTTTGTAGACTTTTTGATGAGGGCCGTTCTGACCCGTGTGAGGTGACATCTCATTGTAGTTTTGATTTGCATTTCTCTACTAATGAGTGATGTTGAGCATCTTTTCATATATTTGTTAGCCATCTACATGTTTTCTTTGGAAAAATGTCTGCTTAGGTCTTTTTTCCCACTTTTTGATTCAGTTCAGTTCAGTCACTCAGTTGTGTCTGACTGTTTGAGACCCCATGAACTGCAGCACCCCAGGCCTCCCTGTCCATCATCAACTCCCGGAGTCCACCCAGACCCATGTCCATTGAGTTGGTGATGCCATCCAACCATCTCATCCTCTGTCGTCCCCTTCTCCTCCTGCCCTCAATCTTTTCCAGCATCAGGGTCCTTTCAAATGAGTCAGCTCTTCGCATCAGGTGGCCAAAGTATTGGAGTTTCAACTTTTTGATTGGGTTGTTTGTTTTTCTGGTATTGAGTTGTATCAGCTGTTTGTATATTCTGGAAATTAATCCTTTGTCAGTTGTTTCATTTGCTCTTATTTTCTCCCATTCTCAGGGCTGCCTTTTCACCTTGCTTATAGTTTCCTTTGCTCTGCAAAAGCTTTTAAGTTTAATCAGGTCCCACTTGTTTACTTTTGTTTTTATTTCCATTACTCTAGGAGGTGGGTCATAAAGGATCTTGCTTTAATTTATGTCACTGAGTGTTCTGCCTATATTTTCCTGTAAGAGTTTTATAGTTTCTGGTCTTACCTTTACGTCTATAATCCATTTTGAGTTTATCTTTGTGTATGGTGTTAGGAAGTGTTCTAATTACATTCTTCTACATGTAGCTGTCCAGTTTTCCCAGCACCATTTATTGAAGAGGCTGTCTTAGCCCCATTGTATATTCTTTCCTCCTTTGTCAAAAATAAGGTACCCATAGGTGCATGGGTTTATTTCTGGACTCTGTCTTGTTCCATTGGTCTATATTTCTGTTTTTGTGCCAGTATCATACTGCCTTGATGACTGTAGCTTTGTAGTATAACCTGAAGTCAGGAAGCTTGATTCCCCCAGCTCCATTCTTCTTTCTCAAGACTGCTTTGGCTATTTGGGGTCTTTTGTGATTCCATATGAATTGTGAAATTTTTTGTTCTAGTTCTGTGAAAAATGCCATTGGTAATTTGATAGGGATTGCACTGAATCTGTAGATTGTGTTTGGTAGTATAGTCATTTTCACAATATTGGTTCTTCCTACCCAGGAACATGGAATATCTCCCCATCTGTTTATATCATATTTGATTTCTTACATTAGTGTCTTATAATTTCCTGTGTACAGTTCTTTTGTCTCCTTAGGTAAGTTTATTCCCAGATATTTAATTCTTTTTGTTGCAATAGTGAATGGGATTGATTTCTTAATTGCTATTTCTGATGTTTCATTGTTAGTATATAGAAATGCAAGTGATTTCTGTGTATTGATTTTGTATCCTGCAACTTTTCTAAATTCACTGATTAGCTCTACTAATTTTCTGATACTATCTTTAGGGTTTTCTATGTACAGTATCATGTCATCTGCAAACAGTGAGAACTTTACTTCTTTTCCAATCTGGATTCCTTTTATTTATTTTTCTTCTCTGACTTCTGAAGCTAGGACTTCCAGAACTATGTTGAATAATAGTGGGGAAAGTGGACACCCTTGTCCTGTTCCTGATCTTAGGGGAAACGCTTTCAGGTTTTCACCATTGAGAATAATGTTTGCTGTAGGCTTATCATATAAGGCCTTTACTATGTTGAGGTAGGTTCCTTCTATGCCCATTTATTAAAGAGTTTTAATCATAAATGGGTGCTGAATTTTGTCAAACGCTTTTTCTGCATCTATTGAGATGATCATATGGTTCTTATCTTTCAATTTCTTCATATGGTGTATCACATTGATTAATTTTCGTATATTGAAGAATCCTTGCATTTCTGGAATAAACCCAACTTGATCATGGTGTATGAGCTTTTTGATGTGTTGCTGAATTCTGTTTGCTAAAATTTTGTTGAGGATTTTTGCATCTATGTTCATCAGTGATATTGGCCTATAGTTTTCTTTTTTGTGTTGTCTTTGTCTGGTTTTGGTGTCAGGCTGATGGTGGCCTTGTAGAATGAATTTGGAAGTGTTCCTTCCTCAGCAATTTTTTGAAAGAGCTTTAGAAGAATAGGCATTAGCTCTTCTCTAAATGTTTGATAGAATTCTCCTGTGAAGCCATCTGGTCCTGGGATGTTGTGTTTTGAGAGATTTTTGATCACAGCTTCAATTTCAGTGCACATAATTGGGTTCTTCATCATTTCTATTTCTTCCTGGTTCAGTCTTGGAAGACTGACCTTTTCTAAGAATCTGTCCATTTCTTCCAGAGTATCTATTTTATTGCCATATACTTGTTCATAATAGTGTCTTATAATCCTTTGTATTTCTGCACTGTCTGTTCTAACATCTCCTTTTTCATTTCTAATTTTGTTGCTTGATTCTTCTCTTTTTTTTTTTTCCTTGATGAGTCTGGCTAACGGTATGTCAATTTTGTTTATTTTCTCAAAGAACCAGCTTTTAGTTTTACTAATCTTCACTATTGTCTTTTTCATTTCTTTTTCATATATCTATGCTCGGGAATTTACGATTTCTCTCCTTCTACTAATTTTGGGGTTTTGTTCTTCTTTTTCCAGTTGCTTTAGGTGTAAAGTTAGGTTGTCTATTTGATATTTTTGTTTCTTCAGGTACGATTGTATTGCTATAAACTTCCCTATTAGAACTGCTTTTGCTACATCCCACAGGTTTTGAGTTGTCATGTTTTCTTTGTCATTTGTTTCTAGAAATTTTATAATTTCCCTTTTGATTTCTTCAGTAACCTACTGGTTATTTAGAAAGGTATTGTTTAATCTCCATGTGTTTGTGTTTCTTACAGCTTTCTCCTTGTAACTGATATCTAGTCCCATAGTGTTGTGGTCAGAAAAGATGCTTGATACAATTTCAATTTTCTTAAAAAACACATCTTTAACATTTAAGATTTTTACTTTTATTTTTTACTAGCAGAATTATTTTCCTAACCAAAATTCCAAATGCTATCAAAAAATAGTTAATTTGTTTCTATGTTCTTTCTTTCTTTGGCATTGGAATGAAAACTGACCTTTTCCAGTCCTGTGGCCACTGCTGAGTTTTCCAAATGTGCTGGCATATTGAATGCAGCACTTTCACAGCATCATCTTTCAGGATTTGAAATAGCTCAACTGGAATTCCATCACCTCCACTACCTATGTTTGTAGTGATGCTTCATAAGGCCCACCTGACTTCACATTCCAGGATGTCCGGCTCTACGTGAGTGAGAGTGATCACACCTTTGTGATTATCTGGGTCGTGAAGATCATTTTTGTACAGTTCTTCTGTGTATTCCTGTCACCTCTTCTTAATATCTTCTGCTTCTGTTAAGTCCATAACATTTCTGTCCTTTATTGAGCCCATCTTTGCATGAAATGTTCCCTTGCTATCTCTAATTTTCTTGAAGAGATCTCTAGTCTTTCCCATTCTACTGTTTTCCTCTTTTTCTTTGCATTGATCGCTTAGGAAGGCTTTCTTATCTGTCCTTGCTGTTCTTTGGAACTCTGCATTCAAATGGGAATATCTTTCCTTTTCTCCTTTGCTTGTCACTGCTCTTCTTTAAGCAGCTATTTGTAAGGCCTCCTCAGACAGCCATTTTGCTTTTTTGCACTTCTTTTTCTTGGGGATGGTCTTGATTCCTGTCTCCTGTACAATGTCATGAACCTCCGTCCATAGTTCATCAGGCACACTGCCTATCATATCTAGTTCCTTAAATCTATTTCTCACTTCCACTGTATAATAATAAGGGATTTGATTTAGGTCATACCTGAAAGGAAAAGGTCATTTTTCTTTCCAATCCCAAAGAAAGATAATGCCAAAGAATGCTCAAACTACCACACAATTGCACTCATCTCACACGCTAGTAAAGTGATGCTCAAAATTCTCCAAGCCAGGCTTCAGCAATATGTGAACCATACTTTCAGATGTTCAAGCTGGTTTTAGAAAAGGCAGAGGAACCAGAGATCAAATTGCCAGCATCTGCTGGATCATCGAAACAGCAAGAGAGTTCCAGAAAAACATCTATTTCTGCTTTATTGACTATGCCAAAGCCTTTGGCTGTGTGGATCACAATAAACTGTGGAAAATTTTGAAAGAGATGGGCATACCAGACCACCTGACCTGCCTCTTGGGAAACCTGTATACAGGTCAGGAAGCAACAGTTACAACTGGACATGGAACAACAGACTGGTTCCAAATAGGAAAATAAGTATGTCAACGCTGTATATTGTCACCCTGCTTATTTAACTTATATGCAGAGTACATCATGAGAAACACTGGGCTGGAGGAAGCACAAGCTGGAATTAGGATTGCTGGGAGAAATATCAATAACCTCAGATATGCAGATGACACCACCCTTATGGCAGAACGTGAAGAGGAACTAAAGAACCTCTTGATGAAAGTGAAAGAGGAGAATGAAAAAGTTGGCTTAAAGCTCAACATTCAGGAAACTAAGATCTTGGCATCCGGCCCCATCACTTCATGGCAAATAGATGGGGAAACAGTGGAAACAGTGGCTGACTTTATTTTTCTGGGCTCCAAAATCACCGCAAATGGTGACTGCAGCCATGAAATTAAAAATGCTTACTCCTTGGAACGAAAGTTATGACCAACCTAGACAGCATATTAAAAAGCAGAGACATTACTTTGTCAACAAAAGTCTGTCTAGTAAAGGCTATGGTTTTTCCAGTGTTCATGTATGGGTGTGAGAGTTGGACTATAAAGAAAGCTGAGTGCAGAAGAACTGATGCTTTTGACCTGTGGTGTTGGAGAAGACTCTTTGAGAGTCCCTTGGACTGCATAGAGATCCAACCAGTCCATCCTAAAGGAGATCAGTCCTGGGTGTTCATTGGAGGGACTGATGCTGAAGCTGAAACTCCAATACTTTGGCCACCTGATGCAGAGAACTGACTCATCTGAAAAGACCCTGATGTTGGGAAAGATTGAGGGCCAGAAGACAAGGGGACGACAGAGGATGAGATGGTTGGATGTCATCACCGACACAATGGACATGGGTTTGTGTGGACTCCGGGAGTTGGTGATGGACAGGGAGGCCTGGCGTGCTGCGGTTCATGTGGTCGCCAAGAATCGGACACAACTGAGCGACTGAACTGAACTGAATGTTCTTTTTTAATCAGATATGTACAAATGCCAGAGCCTTGAATAGGAAAAAAATTACTAGGCTCCAGAGACATAATTGCCTAAGCTGGTCCTTTTTCTTATAAGCACACAGAAGCTGGTGGTAAGAGATGTATAAAAACTTAATTTCAAATGAAATAAAGAGGTAGAAATAAGCTACTGCAAAAGCCCTAAAGGAGCATAAGCCTTTCTAGTGAAAGTAGAGAAAGAATCACAGAAGAAGGTAAAGTCTGACCTGGATTAAATAAAACAAGGAACTTGAAGGCTACTGAGGCAGAGGTAGATGAAGTCCAGAAATCAGCACTCTAGGCGGAGCAAGTATGCTCATAGCAAAGTGCTATATCTTACTAGGTGTTAGTAGAGTAACATGAGAGATGTTAAGGGCTTGTTGTCTAAAAGGAACAGGGCTGAGTAGCAGAGATAATGACCTGAAGAGGTGTCATAGCATATCCTTCTCAGTTCTACAATCTGTATTTTAAAGCATGTCTCAAAAAAAAAAAGAAAAAAAAAGAAAGCATGTCTCAAGGTTCTACACCTTTGGGGAAATTTCGTCATAGTTGAAAAATGATTAAAATGTCAGATGTAATCCATATATTTAATTTCACTCCTTCCCAAAGTTCAAAAAAACCCAGAGCAAGTGGATTTTTAAGTCATAAACTCACAAGGATAAACAGAATAAAGTCAACAGCAACAACAAACCTTTTGGACATTTGGGGATGTGGAAAAACAGATAATAACTGGAAAAGGTAAGCCAGGGAAGGCTGAGAATCATTCTCATTTATACTGAATAATACTCATAATACATAGGAACTAGCCATACCAGGTACTTATAGAAGTGGATAAAGTCAAAGGAGATGACTAAAATAAGGAAGAGTAAGTGAAAGGGTTTTCAGAAGTAGTTAGGTATTAGGTTCTAATCTCCCACCCTCCATTCCACATCTTTGGGTGATTGCTTCTCCCCTACTCAAAAAGTCTAAAATTTTGTTCTCTGGAAAGGGTAAAAGAGCATCTCTGGACTAGGGAACACCAGGCACTGTTGAAGGTATGGCTATCATGTGAAAAACAAGAAGATTAAATGACCATATGCATGCTGAATGCCATATGCAGTAACTGCCAGCACTCTGCCCACTTGGCTACCAAAATGCACCAATAACCACATCCTTATCCTCCAGGCAGGATACTGAAAGATAATTCTCTGGAGAATCTGGCCAATTCAAGAAGAAAGACCCACAAATAATTACATCAGAGGTTCCCTGATTACTGTCCCACCCAGATGCCTGAAAGTAGAGGTTAACAAGTCTGACCTTCCCAGACTCAGCTCTCATAAACTCACAGGGAAGCTTGAGCCAGACTATGACCAAGAGACTCTGTTCAGCTTACCCCTCCTGGGTATCTTCACCTAACAGTAACTTTAGTAACCAGCTAGGTATGTGCTGGGCACGCTAGTTTTCAAAACAAAATAATATGTATTCTTTAAGTACACTATAATGAAAAGCAAAGGAAAGAGTAACACAAAAGTCAGGGCAGATCCATGGCTGACTCATGTCGATGTAGTGAAAACCACCACAATATTGTAAATAGCCTCCAATTAAATAAATTAATTTTTTAAAAAGTCAGGGTAGATACTATCTATAGTGATGAGGGAGGGGAATGCAAGTGGGAGGGGGCACACAGATAACTTCTAAGGTACCAGTACTGTTCCATTTCTTAACAAAAGTACGGTTTTACTATTCTTTATACTGTACATACAAATTTAATATACTCAGCTACATAGATATATTTCACAATAAAGTTTCAATTTAAATAAAGAAAATGAGAGAAAAGAAAGCAATCAGAAACAGAAAGGATGCAACCCCAATACTATAACAGGAGGGGAGGCTGGGGATAGGATTCACTTACCATTTCATATGCTACTTCCTCAGGTGTATCTGTTTCTAAATTGAAACTGAATTCAATAGCTTCATTATCTTTATGTTTGCCTTTCAATTTTTTAGGGTCTTCAACCCAGAGTCTTAAAGCCAGGGATGAATTTGAGCAATCATCTTCCTCTGCCAACTCCACTCTTAGTCCTGTATCCTCCGCAAAAAATGCGTGGTTTAGAAGGTCCCTTATAGACAACCTAATAAACAATATACAAACCTGTTATCAATTCTTCCAATCACAAACAAGATATAGAACACTTAATCAGTAAAAAGTCTGTCAAAGCAACAACTTTATTTAAAATTTTCTATTAACTAAACCATTAATTTGTCTTATTTTAAAACCCTAATCTTATATCCCACTTATCATTACCAAGGATGCAAAGAAACCTCGATTAACATGCATTTGTAGTGATCTTAATTAAGGACCATTAACAGTAACATATCCAGATACTGAAGTTTAACATACCTAAATGTACGCCTAGAGATAATTTGAAAAGTGCTGCAGTACGTTAGATGGATTCAGTATCTTCCCTAAATCACTGGCTTAAGTCACTAAAAGTCTAACAATGGATTGTCAGCAAGGAAACTAAAAACTTTTCCAGATATATAAACTCTAAAGTAAATTAACAATTCAAACTTTTCTTTTTTTACAAAATTTATAAACAGAACTCATTAACTCAATTAACAGTAATCTAGTCTGTGTACTTCATTCACTCTTTAGAGAATGCCATGGGTGAAACTAATTTAGTTCATCAAAGTCATACAGTTTTCTTGAAGTACTTAAGGCCAATGTCCTAGGCCAAAGTATACACATAATGACTACAACTCCAGCCTAATATTAGAGATTAATCTAATATTATGTTAAGAGAAGAAAAAAAGACAGAGGTTCAAATTTTTTTTATATGCTGGGAAAGGTAATTTCCCTTTCTTTGACCGACTTCTAAAATAGAGAAATAATATCTAAATTACAGGCCGGTGAGAGCTAAAACTGATATATTCCATAATGTCTATGTAGAAAGCCCCTCCTATACTATTTAAAACAGAAGCTATGACCAACCTAGACAGCATATTAAAAAGTAGAGACATTACTTTGCCAACAAAGGTCCATTTAGTCAAAGCTATGGTTTTTCCAGTAGTCATGTATGGATGTGAGAGTTAGACCATAAAGAAAGCTGAGCGCCAAAGAATTGATGCTTTTGACCTATGGTGTTGGAGAAGACTCTTGAGAGTGCCTTGGACAGCAAGCAGATCAAACCAGTCAATCCTAAAGGAAATCAGTCCTGAATATTCATTGGAAGGACTGATGTTAAGCTGAAGCTTCAGTACTTTGGCCACCTAATGTGAAGAACTGACTCACTGGAAAAGACCCAGATGCTGGGAAAGTTTGAAGGCAGGAGGAGAAGGGACGACAGAGGATAAGATGGTTGGAAGGCATCACTGACTTGATGGACATGAGTCTGAGCAAGCTCCAGGAGCTGGTGATGGACAGGGAAGCCTGGCATGCTGCAGTCCATGGGGTTGCAAAGTCAGACACGACTGAGCAACTGAACTGAGACTGAACTGAAAGCATGTTGACAGCATGATATCCTGTAAGTTGAGGATTTTCAACCTTCTACACTTTAGTGATCAAGAGACAAACATTTACCTAAGACAGCTTTTAAGAGAAGAATACGCTTGCTCAGACTAACTAGTCTTAAGGCTGAGATGAGATGTGTTTAAGAATGTACAATCAAGTTAAGCATTCTGCTTCTCAATGACAGTTTTGCCTAGATAATTTTACTATGGAATAATCACTGCAATAGCAGCAGATAGTATTATTCATTAAATATTTCTTACTCTGTTAGGTATTTTATACCCATTATCTTTTTAATCATCAAAATAATACCTATTTTGAGGAACACCTAAGTAACTTGCTCAAGATCACACTGGCTAAGTGTGACTCCAGATTTGAATCTTCTCCTGCTGTGGAAGCCTATGCTCTTTCCAAAACACTAATGTGCCATGAACTTATTCCAGTGTTCTTTGGTAATAGATCCTAATTAAAATGCTGTATAAAAAGCAATCAGAAACCAAACTAAAACAACTACTTCAACACAGTAGTTTTAGCATAGCTTTAAAAAAAAGCATGCCTAAACTTCTACAATTCAAAAACAGCAATAAAACAACTCAATTTTTTTTTCTAAAGGCAAAGGACTTCAATAGATAATTCTCCAAAGAAAATATACAAATGACTGACTGATAAACACATGAAAGGATACTCAACATTATTAGTCCTTAAGGAAATGGAAATCAAAACCAAAATGAGATAGCACTTTACACCCACTAAGATGGATATTACCAAAAAACAGTTCGTGTGGATGTTAAGAAACTGGAACCATCATACATTGCTGGAAGGAGTGCAAAATGATGCAGCCACTGTGGAAAAAAAATTGGTCGTTCTTCAAAAAAATTAAACATATTATTACTATATGATTCAGTAATTCTACTCTTAGGTATATACCAAAAAGAACTGAAAGCAGAGATTCAAGAAGGTACTTGTTCACCAATGTTCATGCTGCGTTATTCACAATAGCTAAAAGGTAGAAATAACCCAAGTATCTATCAACAGATGAATGGATAAACAAAATGGTGTGTATATGAGAGCACAAAAAGACAAATATTATATATCACAAAAGAACAAATATTTTGATTCCACTGGTAGGAGGTACCTACAAAAGAGGTACAGACTAAGTAGAATAGAGATTGGCAGGGGTTGAGGGGAAAGGGAATGGGGAGTTACTATTTAATGGGCACAGAGTTTCTGTTTGGGATGATGAGAAAGTTCTGGAGATAGTGGTTATGATTGTACAACAATGTGAATGTGCATAATGCCACTGAATTGTACATTTAAGAATGATTAAAATGGTAAATCTTAGGTTATTTATATTTCACCATAATTAAAATATATAGATATAGCCTATTGGTGCAAACACCAAGAATGTTGTATAATAAAGCTATAATTAAACAGGCTTTATCTTAGGGGCTTTTTATATTTTAAGATATGCAACAGTAAGGTTAGATAACTAATAAAAATGAGAGAGAGTCAGTGAAATGCTGGTGTAAATAATTTCTATAAAAGATCTATTATCTGATTTAATCATAATCAACTAGAGATAAAACACTAACCTACCAATTTAAGTAACCAACTGTCCAAAGCTCAAATTAAAGGGAAAAGCTAAAACTAAAATGAATTGTGAGAAAAATACAAATTGTGACACAAATAAATTTAGAATTACTATTTCTTGAAAAAAATAGCCTTATCAGCTTTACCATTATCATGACACAAGAACATATGGACAAATTAAAAAAAAAACAGCTAGTGAGTTAATGGTTAAATTTTTCTTAAACTATCATAAAAAACCATTTAAGTACTTATGTGAAGTTGACAATGCAGAAACTCTCCACTATCTATCAACTGTTAGAAGAAAGTTTACCTGAGAGGGGACTATTAAACTGATGGCTAAAAGTGATGAAGTTTAATATCGGTTCAAGGAAAATTCAACACATAATATCAATTTAAAATGGCAACAGATGCAATAATACACTTTACTATAGACAGTGTGGTTTGGCTTCCACTCAAAAGTCATACCCAGCATGATTCAAAGGTCAGAAAAAGACCCAAAGCAAGATAAGAGAAAAATTCATCCATCAGTTATATCATTTCACTATATATGCACCCACCTTTCAGATTTGTTTTGACGAATACATCCCTCGATGATTTCTTTCACTTCAGGATCAGTGACTTTATCAAAACTGGCTGGTTTGATACCCTGGAAGAGGAAAAATGATTTCTAGTCACAAATTAAGCAACTGAAACCCCAGGCCAACATGACACTTAGTAAAATAATGATTTTTTAAACACTAAACAACTTTTAAACCTTAAATGAAATAAATATATATACACAATATAAGTTTCACAACTTTTTGACAAGGATTTTGTCACCATTCTACAAACAACAGTGAAAAACTGTAAACAATCTAAATCTTTAATAACAGAAGTAATATTATATAAACTATGTGACATACAGATAAAGACAAATGCTAATAAACTAAAAATATTCTCAACAGTAATTAAAAACATGGAGAATTCTCATACTACAACATTAAGCAGAAAAAACAGGATTTCAAAATGTACATACAATATAACCCCAATTAGTAAAATATAATAAATCAGTATTTCTTGAAATCATAAAAATCAATGTTATTAGAAAAACACTTTCAGAAATTCTAAATAAGGAATTCTCTACTGCCAACATTTCAAATCAGTATTTCAAAGTCTTCTAGAACGGCTAGACACAATCAGTAAATATACATATAAAAACATATATATTTTGTTATATGCATAAACTTTTAAGAAATCTATATTGTTTTTATCCATAAACAATATCAAACTACTGAGAGAACCTTAAGCTAATTAGAAGGTTCTAGGAAATCACTCTCAAATTAATGAGGTCCATATAATTCAAAACATTTTTATAATAACTGTGCTTGCTGCCTAAACCTGTTTATTTTATATTCTATCACTCTTAATTTATCAGTTTTAGAGTTAAAAAATAATACAAGATTGCTGCCATCACTTAATAAAAATTCCAAATTAATCTATATGCAGAAAGGTATAATAAAATAATTATCACAAAATGAGGCAATCTAAGATAATGTTCTGGGTCTGTCACACTACCTTACAGTATACAGAATCAGAAAGCCAATATCATATCCTAGATAAATCTGGTGAGATTAGGAGTTAATTTGGGCCTCAAATTCAAGAAGCTTTAGTAGACATGGAAATCTGAAATGTGATATTGCATTTTAATGACTTTAATATAAAAGAATAAAGTTAACCAATCAAAAAATGGAGTTTTTAATTCTTATAGAAAATACCCTCTTTGACCTTTCTACTGATCTCTTAACCACTCCCGAGCCCTGGATAATTATTGCTTTTCTCTGCTCCTAGGGGAAAATAACTGGGGAGCTGAAACTTATAAAATCAAGTATAGACTCTTCTATTTGTGGCCCAAATTAAAAGGGCATTCTAGCCTCATTAGTTATCTGAAATACGTGAACAATCTCTTTTGCGGCCTACCTTGAGCTACCCAACTGAACATGAAAGAGATTTAATTTAAACAATCCTAACACTTTGCTTCTATCTCCCTTAAATTCCTTCTATACTCCAATCCTCTTATTTTTGTAGTCATTTGTGAGTTTATATCATTGCCCTACTAAAAATGTAAACTCTTCGTAGGTAGCAAACACGTCTTACTCACATTCCTTGTAACTCCTAATGTAAAAAAATTACTCATTGCAGTGACTGTCATTTAATAATGAGGCTTTCAGAACTAGAAAAAGTCTTCAAAACATTTAGCCAATCTTTATTATTTAGCTTTGGAAAATAACATCCATCTAATAAATAAAAAGATCAGTTTTCATTCCAATCCCAAAGAAAGGCAATGCCAAAGGCTCAAACTACTGCACAATTGTACTCATCTCACACGCTACTAAAGAAATGCTCAAGATTCTCCAAGCCAGGCTTCAAAAGTACATGAACTGTGAACTTCCAGATGTTCAAGCTGGATTTAGAACAGAAGAACCAGAGATCAAATTGCCAACATCAGCTGGATCATTGAAAAAGCAAGTGAGCTCCACAAAAACATCTACTTCTGCTTCATTGACTATGCCAAAGCCTTTGACTGTGTGGACCACAACAAACTCTGGAAAATTCTTAAAGAGATGGGAATGCCAGACAACCTGAGCTGCCTCTTGAGAAATTTGTATGCAGGTCAGGAAGCAACAGTTAGAACTGGACATGAAACAACAGGCTAGTTCCAAATATGGGAAGGAGTACATCAAGGCTATATATTGTCATCCTGCTTATTTAACTTATATGCAAAGTACATCATGAGAAACGCTGGGCTGGATGAAGCACAAGCTGGAATCAAGACTGCTGGGAGAAATATCAAAAACCTCAGATATGCAGATGACACCACCCTTATGGCAGAAAGTGAAGAAGAACTAAAGAGCCTCTTAATGAAAGTGAAAGAAGAGAGTGGAAAAAGTTGGCTTAACACTCAACATTCAGAGACTGGACTCGGAAGATGGCAGAAGAATAGGATGGGGAGACCACATTCTCCCCCACAAATTCATCAAAAGAACATTTGAATGCTGGGAAAACTCCACAAAACAACTTCTGAATGCTGGCAGAGGACATCAGGCACCCAGAAAGGCAGCCCATTGTCTTCGAAAAAGGTAGGACAAAATATAAAAGACAAAAAGAGAGGCAAAAGAGGAAGGGATAGAGACCCATCCCAGGAAGGGAGTCTTAAAAGAGGAGAAGTTACCAAACGGCCCTACCTGGGGAGAATGTGCTCACCAAGCACCTGGTTGCCTGAGCGGCTTAGACCTGGGAAGTACATGCAACCCAGGGCCCGCCGCAGATATTTCCCCGGCAGAGCAAGCTAGAGCCTGAGAAGTGTAGACTGGGAACGTGCACGTGAACGTGCACGTGCTGTGAGTGAGGGCAAACCCAGTGCAGCCAAGACACTGCGAGCACTCCCCACACAGGCCAGTGATATTTGTTTGCAGTGTTCCTCCCTCCCCACAGCATGACTGAATAAGTGAGCCTAAATAAGTGAACACCTTTATCCCCTAGTGTCAGGGTAGAAATTAGAAACCGAAGAGACCAGCAAACAAAAGAAGCTATAATAAACAAAGAGAACCACATTGGAAGTGACAGGTGCAACAGATTAAAATCCTGGAGTTAACACTGACTACACTGGAAGGGGTCTATAGATTGTGAGAAGTATAAGCCGGATCAAGGAACTATCTGAAACTGAACTGACCCCACACTGCCCAAAACAGCTCCAGAGAAATTCCTAGATATATTTTTACTATTATCATTTTTTTTAATTTTTAAAAAAGTTTCTTAAGTCATTACTCCTTGAATTTTCTTTTTTTTTAATTTTATTTTTTATTAGTTGGAGGCTAACTACTTTACAACATTGTAGTATTCTTTGTCATACATTGACATGAATCAGCCATGGATATACATGCATTCCCCATCCCGATCCCCCCTCCCACCTCCCTCTCCACCCAATCCCTCTGGGTCTTCCCAGTGCACCAGGTCCGAGCACTTGTCTCATACATCCAACCTGGGCTGGTGATCTGTTTCACCCTAGATAATATACATGTTTCGATGCTGTTCTCTTCAAACATCCCACCCTCGCCTTCTCCCACAGAGTCCAAAAGTCTGTTCTATACATCTGTGTCTCTTTTTCTGTTTTGCATATAGGGTTATCGTTAACATCTTTCTAAATTCCATATGTATGTGTTAGTTCATTTTCATAACCTAATATTACCTTGAAAAAAAAGACCCTATTTTTAAAGCAAACTTCATATATATACTTTATAATTTTTGTGACTTTGTTTTGTTTAATATTGTATTTTTGAGAGTCTAACCTCCACTCTAGATTTTTAATCTTTGCTTTTTGGTATTTGTTATCAATTTTATACTTTTAAGAACCCAATCTTCAGTACCTGTTTTTACCTGGGAGTGTGATTACTGGCTTGATTACTCTCTCCCCCTTTAGACCCTCCTTTTTCTCCACCATGTCACCTCTATCTCCTCCCTCCCCCTTCTCTTCTCTACCCAACTCTGTGAATCTCTTTGTGTTCCAGGTTGTGGAGAACACTTAGGGAACTGACTACTGCATGGATCTGTCTCTCTCCTTTTGATTCCTCCTTTTCTCCTCCTGGTCACCTCTGTCTCCTTCCTCCCTCTTCTCTTCTCTGTGTAACTCCATGAACCTCTCTGAGGGGTCCAGACTGTGGAGAGCACACAGGGAACTGATTACTGGCTAGCTTGCTCTCTCCCCTTTTCATTCCTCCTCTTCTCCTCGTGGTCACCTCTCCCATCTCCCGCTTCTGTTCTCCATGTAACTCTGTGAACCTCTCCAGGCGAATCTCACTGTGGAGAATCTTTTCATTATTAACCTAGATGTTTTATCATCAGTGCTGTCTAGATGGAGAAGTCTTGAAGCTACTGTAAGAATAAGACTGAAAACCAGAGACAGGAGGCTTAAGTCCAAAACCTGAGAACATCAGAGAATTCTTGACTCCAGGGAAGACTAATCGATAAGAGCTCATCCAAAAGCTTCCAAACCTACACTAAAACCAAGCACCACCCAACAACCAACAAGCTCCAGAGCAAGACATACCATGCAAATTCTCCAGCAATGCAGGAAAATAGCCCTGAGCTTCAATATACAGGCTGCCCAAACTCACACCAAACCCAGTGACATCTCAAAACTCACTACTGGACACTTCATTGCAGTTCAGACAGAAGAAATCCAGATTCACCCAGCAGAACACCGAGGCAAGCTTCCCTAACCAGGAAACCTTGACAAGCCACCTGTCCAACCACACCCAAAGGGAGCAACCTCCACAATAAAGAGGAACCACAAACTGCCTGCATATAGGAAGGCCACCCCAAACACAGCAATCTAAACAAGATGAAAAGGCAGAGAAATACTCAGCAAATAAAGGAACATGATAAATGCCCACCAAACCAAACCAAAGAGGAGGAGATAGGGAGTCTACCTCAAAAAGAATTCAGAATAATGATAGTAAAAGTGATCCAACATCCTCAAAACAAAATGGAGTTACAGATAAATAGCCTGGGGACAAGGATTGAGAAAATGCAAGAAATGTTTAACAAGGACCTAGAAGAAATAAAAAAGACTCAGTCAATAATGAATAAGGCAATAAATGAGATAAAAAA